TTAGAAATTTCAATCAAGTAGAATCATGATTGTGCTTCGATAATCTGAGAAAATTTACAAATACTCGCCATCATCAGCGAACTGTGCATGTGTTTTCAAGCTCATTATTAGCGATGAGAATTTCATTTATTTTCAAAAAGCAAACTGTGTCTTAAAAATTAATAACTGTTTTAAAACTATTAGAAATAGCGGGTTGAATCTGGTTTCAGCATTATTTCCGTGAAGGCCTCTTTGGCTTTGTGGTAAGGTCTCGGCTTCTGATTGGACATTATATAAACTTTTACGATATAAGGATAAAAAATAATTTCGGTAATAAATATATAAAGAGATGGAGGGATACATACTAACAGAACAGAACGCCGTCTCTTACACCCGTACCTGTGACCAGACCGGTCACTGAACGATTTGATGGGCAAGACACTAGAATTTTATTTAAGAAAAAAAGAAAACAAAACAAAAAGAAAGAAATATTTACACTATGTACAGCACAGGCATTTTCACTCTTACACTATTAGTTCGTGATAGTCTTCTTTTTTTTATATGTTGTTCTACCCTTCTTTTTTGAAGGGGGGGGGGGGGGAATGTCCGGTAATTTGGAGCATGTTGGTTCAGCTCGCCGGAAAATTGAAGGCTAGGGAGGCCGGAAAAGATCTTTGTTTTCGCTTATGAATTTGACAATCCTACGAATTTCATGCCTGGAGATGAGGTTATTGGCGACTCTTTTCAGCCATTCTTGTTCGAAGCTTGGCACTGGCTTCCTCATATGCCAAGACACTGTGAGAATACACTCCGATGACACTTAGACGTTACAATGGATGGCTATATAAAATTAAGAAACAGGTCATAAAATGAGTTGAGATCTCACCAGGTAAGGTAAGAATGCGCAAGCGCGGTTTCTGAACATACAGCAGCATTTCATTAGCAAGCATCTAAAGCCAGTAGTTCATAATCATGTCGCTAATTGGTTGGTAGCTCGAGATTTTGCTCGGTTTCATATCAGACAGCAGAGGGCATAGGTCTGCAAAATACAGCCAACCTAACCACATACTTACCGGTCTGCAAAATACCACATTCTTATCCAATCTGGTACTATCTCACCTCATTTTATGATAAAGGAAGACAATCAGGTCATATTATGGGACTTCATCGTTCTTGATCATTTAAGACTTGCTGTTGACTCATTCATCACATCATGTCAATTCGGTGTTGCCTCATTGTTTTTTTACTTATTTTACCATATGCAAAGCACCACCATATATTATTGTTCTTAAGCTCTTCGGAGCAGTGGAAGGAAAACGGGATATAGAAGATAGTATGCTGCACTTAGGAGTTATTTCTTTTCCCATAAGTAAAGTGCTCCTAGGAACAGTGGCGTAGTATCAAGAGGGCAGGAAGTTGCTATAGACATCAGTGTGTCACCAGTGCGATGACCAGTGGAGTAGCAACCGGGGGAGGGGAAGGGTGGTATATACATGCCCCGAAATCGAGTCTTACGGGGTGCAATGGAATTGCTTTTATGCCAGTTTTTAAAGTGAAATACGATAAGAGGGCATAAAAATAATAACATGCCCCGGTAGCCATTTGTCCCTGCTAAGCCAATGATCGTTATTAGTAGCTTAGCAAAGGTAGCAGGGGTGAAGGCGAATAATCGTATTATGCTATGAGTTCAATATGACGAAAGAGCATGAATAAATATAATGTCTGGTCGCTTCATTGCTACCGCAAAATTTTGAAAGCGTCTTCTTGCATTAAATTTCCTTTTCTTTGTTTTAGGGTGAAGGGCATCAAGAACCTTCGAGTTGTAGACGGATCTATCATGCCAACAATTATTTCTGGAAACACAAATGCTCCGATCATAATGGTAGCAGAAAAAGCATCCGAAATGATCAAGAAAGACAATCCAGACAGGAAAAATTGTAACCCAGAAGAAGAATACAGAACAGAGGATGACTGGTTCGGCTGGTGGAAATAATTAATTGATGTTGTAGAAATTGCATAATGAGGGGAGGGGTATCCATACTTTTCTACTTAAACGTATACTTTTTCATAAACTTTCACAGTTTCATTTAAAACTCGGGTAATAAGTAATATATCAAGTACCTGCGACATGTTTTTGGAGCATGTTTTCATGTGAGAAATTCAGTCAGATATCAATAGCAAATATGAGGCATGAGTTTGTGGTACTCTGCATTTATGGGGCTCCATATATGTTAAATATTTTTTGAATTAAAGATATAAATTGATTAAAGAATATAGCATGCAATTAGTAATTTAAAAGAAAAAGTTTTGTTGAATTCAAAAATCCAAATCTTTTAAATTTTTTGAATTTATAAATTTTGTACCTTTGAAGTTCGGACCCTGAAACATGAATACTCGGTGAATGGTTTAAAAATTATAATATTATTTTTAAATTATATAAATAATACAGTTTTTTGTAAAATGAATATTTCTTTTTCAATTTTTATTTAATCAGAAATTTCCTTAAACATCTGTATTATTTAAAATGCAGTAAGTTTGAATATTTGTATACCTTGAATTAAGTATGGATTTATGTGCCATCAAAAAGAATGATGTGTTATGAATTGTGTTTATTTACTGTTTGATTATTTTATCATACGCATTTATTCATCCCATTTTCATCATGTAATAAAGAAATTAACATACATAAACCCATAACAGTGGAGATTCATATGATAAAATTACCAATGTGTGTAACATTACACCGTTTACATTTCAAATTTCATGTTTTGTTTCATGTATTCCATTGAAAAATGTTATTGAACTAATTAATTTAATGGCATTTTTTCATGTACAAGTAAGTATATATTTTTATACATTTTATTAAAATTAAATTCCTACCGATATATTTGGAAATTCCAATATATTCCAAATATATTTGGAAATTTTGATCTGAATTTTTCAGATTAAGGATGATGAAAACGATATAAATCATCTTGGATTGTTACACATGTTTTTGAAAAATATTCTTTTCCAATTACTTTTGTAATTTTTAGATACTTTTAAATATAAAATTATTGATAGCAAATAAGAAATTCTTAACAAGGTTATAAAGAATAGTAAAATTATTTAAACTTATAACTTCTTTAATAATTACTATTGATAATAATTTTGAAAATTTATTATATACGGTTTAAAAGTGAGATCTAAAAAAATTGTCTTTCAAAAATTCTTATTTCGTCCTGGTCATTTTTTTAAAAGAATTTAAAAATAACTTTCATCTTATTTATTGTGCATTATTTTAATGCTATTACGTACATCTTTTTTTAAATAAATTATGTTTTGTTCTCTTCAAAACAGATTTTAGTTGCGTAATAAATTTTTTTGCAATCAATTTCTAAAAAAATGTACCAAAGTCTTCTGATTGCGGAAAACAAAATTGTAAAAATGCATTTTTTTTATTTGTGTTAGTAGATTATTAATTATTCTTCATCATGTGTAAAGTTCGTTGCCAAATTCATTTTTATAAAAATTCATTAAAAATCAGAGAGGAGATTTTATTTTCGATATTGATTTTTGAATTGAAGCATTTGTATCAATAACATCTCTCATCACTTTATTTGTATTGTGTATAAGAAGTTTTATGGAATAAACAAATTAAAAGAATTATTTGTGTTATTTTTTTTTATCTAAGTACTCTTAAAAATTATTTCTAATTCTCCGAATTTGCTGCATAAACGTTAAAACTGTTTGCATTTTAGGTAAATCTAGGCAGTATTACGCATTTCCTTTTATACAGATTTCATTATAGTATTTTTTAAAAAAAATTTAAAATGATTGTAAAAATTTATTAAAAATTTATTTAATGATCTGTTATTATCTGTTACTACACTAGTGTGAAAAAATTAAGGACCATTTCGTTACATGCTAACAAGAGTTATTACGGAAACAATGGTTCAAAATCAGTTGTTAAGAATCGTGTAACATACAATCGAGTATCGTACACATTTTGCACTGGAGATTGACTTACGATTGCATTTAGAGGACCAACCGGAAACTGATGAAGAGGAAAAGAGATTTCGGCTTACGCTGTTTCACAAGAAGCTGATAATGATTTGAAACTTTCATTAATGGTTTTGTTTGCTATGCACATTGCTTGCATGCATTTTCGTAAAAATAGCATGGGTATTCGGGAAAATATAAAGGATTCTTTAAAAATTCCAAATTTTCCCGCGTGTTTTTTGCTTATAAGATGCAGAGTTTTTAACCAAATTATAAGAAACCTTCATAATACGTAACAATATGCTATCGAAGCATTATATTAAAATTAAAAGTAAATGTTTTGGATATTCTAGGAAATATGAGTATTTGTAGTAAATAACTTTTAATTGCATAGCATAATTTTTCCTTGATAATTTCAAATCCAGATATCCAAGGCAGCTTGTATAAAAACTCCAGTTGAATACCATTAATATTCATAAAGATATCGATATTTCAGCGAAGTTAATTTGAACTGCCCTCTAAGAGAATCAAAATTATAAGACCTTTCCCACAAATTGATATCAAACTTGAATCTTCGTATAGTTATATTGAATTGTATAAAGGTTAGAAATATTCTGAATACCCATATATACTTGTAAATTGAATAAAGAAGTTAAATTTCAGTAAATTAGACATTATAAATAACAAAAATATCAAATTTTGGAAAAGCTCTCAAAAGTAAGGAAGCCCTCATCTTCCTCACCTGAAGGAATAAAAAAAACCGAGCTAATCGAGTTTTACATATCTTTATTATTCCTGCATACTTTTTTCATTATTTCGTAAAAGTCTCAACAAAATTAAAATTTCATAAGAAAATGCTTATATGTAACTGGTAAGAAAAAAAGCGGGTGTGTCGGTGAGTGGACGCACGACCGAAGCGAAACTTCTTTTCTATATAACTAAATGTAATAATGGTAGAATCACACAGCCTGACTCTTTTTCTTTCACTTCCCTCTCCGTTTTATTTCTATGTATAGAAAGAAAACAGCAATCGTTGCGAAGCGAAGGTGGTATAACGAATAGCATAACTGCCCTCCAAGTAGTTGACCCATGTTCGACTCCTGGCCGTCGCAGTTCTAAATCCCCCCCTCCTCCATCTTTTATTTACAAAAACAGTGACGGTCGCTTTTTCTATGACGACTCCCCATCCCGAAACCTCCTTTAAGAAGCTTCGCTACAAAAAGATTCCAGACCTGTTCTGCTGGTTTTCGGTGAATACAACAGACATATATTAAAAACATTTAATTAATCATAAATATTGTATTTCAATATTTTTTCTCGTGCTCGAAAGGAAAGAATTAAAGAAAAAACTTGTAGATACATTAATAAATATCCCTTTCTTTTTCTCCATATATATCAGCTATTTTCATTAGACAGTAGCCCAATCTTAAATCATCCAATAAAATGATTTTTTTTACGTATAGAATAACCTGAAAAACAAATAATAGTGTAACAAAACAAATCAGATCAAACAACCAGAACAAAAACGTTCTTCAGATATTTCCTACAAGCCCCAGAAAAATTAAAGCATAACAGTGAAACGAATCAGCATGAAAACGAGCAACATCGCAAATAGATTTTAATAAAAGATTGGGAAAATATACAGATAATGTTATTAAAAAGGAACTACTTTTTCGCATTTTCCAAAAATAAAGGAAACACTAAACATTAGATTAATGATAGAAACACATGAAGTGGTTTCCGCAGAGTCAGCACATGATCCTTTGCTGTTACGGGGGACTGGGGCACCATGGAACGGTTCTAGCCGACTCGGCAGCTGAAGCGTACCCTCATCCCTTACTGGAAACGCTTCGGTTAACCGCGATTCGACTCCTATTTACACTGAAACGATGGACGTGCCATTTTTTTCAAGCTTTCGGTCTTGAACCAGCACACCGCTCTCAAAACCACCATTGTTTCTGGCGGTAAGTAAAATCTTATAAATCTTTTTGGATTATTTTAGACTTTCCCTTTTTTAATTTTTCGATTAATTATATTCTCTTCTAAGATATATACACTGATATTTTTAATACGAACAAAAAAACAAATATATTTTATTCATAATATTAACTATGTTGCTATTGTCATTCCATAAATTTGTAGCAATATGAGTGCTATTTTGAGACGGTCCTCGTAATTTTGAACTGTTGTAAGTAAAGAGGGCGACACCTGAGCCTGCAGCCCCTCTCCAAACATCTGAGCCACACCAACGAGTGTGCAGTTATTACATAAACTAAGTAATATCTATTAATTTCCGGAAAAAAACATCTATTTTTTTAGGTCTGACGTCTTACTAGTCAACAGTTGAACTGATATGAGTGGAATGGAAAACCGAGTGATTAAGGTAAAAAAATTGAATCGACACCGCCGGCCTGCGAGTGCCGATTCACTACACGCCCCGTGTGAACTTGGTCGACTCGCCTTCATTTGTTAGCCGAGTCGGCGGAAACCGTTTCATGCATTTCTACCTTAAAACCGTTACATATAACGCTTTTTAAAACGTTTATTTTCAACAATCTGTTAGTGCTAGTTTCTCAAAAATAACTGAATAAACTAGCGGATGTCAAGAATGAACTGCATGTCGCAGCTTAAATAGTATTGTAATGCTTCTAGGCTGTAACGACGAGTGGAGTTAAAAGTGGAAGGAGGGCAAAAACTTTGTTGACTTCTAAAAGTATCGTGGAGTATAGGGGGACCTCATAATTTAAAAATTTAGCTGCAGAATTAGCTAGCTTTCCCGGATACTATTGCCGTTTTATAATTCCTATTGTTAGGCACCAAAAATGAAATAAAAATTTAATTTTCCCTGTAATACGTGAGGGGAAGCCACTCCCCCTAAGCACCTTTCCCCCTACTCGCCGCAACCGTTTCTAAGTAAAGAATTTCCCAGTAACATCATCAAGGTCATTATTACACCAGAAATTCCTTTTGTGAATAAAACAAGAAATTATTTGTTTATTTCCAAATATCGGCAACTCTATTTTATCGATTGTTGAAATAATCAACAAAACTTCTGTTGGATACAAGTGTTGGCGAACGATAGCAGTTTATGAAAATTCAGCATTGTTGATTGTCGTTTCGTTTTGCTCGCTTGTATCAACCCTCTTCCTCTCTGAAACGTTTTTTCAGTTCACTTGTAGTTCAGTCCTGTTGCGGTATGCTTACGAGTTGTAGTATACAGCGATGTGTTGCCTGTGTGAATCGTATTACCTGTCTGTGTGAACGCCTGAGTGGTGGTGCATCGTATTATCGTCATGTTTTTAATAAATACGATTTTATGAATTGGACTTGTATTCCAACTCCACGCCTTCAACTTCCTTTTCGGTAGTTAAAAAATTCAGATGATCCAAAAAATTCATTGAGAAAATTTCAAATTACGAAATAAATCAATCAGTAACTGGAATGGTGAAAGCAGGTTTATATTATTTCTAATATAACAGTAATAAAGAAAAGTGACATTAATTTTAAAGTCATATGGAGAATTAAATTATTAAAGAACTGCTGAATTGCACACGATGCATACATTAACTGTGCTGACACAAAATATGATCAAATTTGATCGTTGTTTGAAGAAGGCGTTAATTTGAAACATTTTTCAGGGATTCAGTACGGAATTTTCTTATTCACACAGCTACAGAAAGCAAAGAATCATCGTGTTGATACATATAACTGCAATACAAAGATGTAAAAATTATCACAATCATGTTTTAAAAGGTTAACTGCCAAGTGAGTTGCATTTTACCCACACTATTTTTGACTCTGGGCTTCAGGAAAATTTAGTGTCAAGCTCACGTCTATTTATTTTTTCAAAATAAAACAAATAGAATTTTTCTTTTCTTGAAGAAGTGACTCCACTGAAAATTTCTTTTTAGTGCGGATGTAAAGTGGCAAAGTCAGATAAAACGCTCAAAATACTCGTTAGTGATCTTCCTATAATTTCTTTCAGACAATGCCTTTTTTCGATTAATTTTCCTTCTGCAATCAAAATATTTCTTATTTAGGTTATTGATCCCTATTACCTTGTAGTTCATGGTTATGGGAACAGGAAATACCGCTCCCGAAACTTTAAGCGGAAAGAGAAATTCTTACCTATTTGAATGTTAAGAATAGGAGATAGGAATTTGTCACCAGATTTCTTTATGGTTATGTTATAAAGTGATAAGATGCAGATAACCTCCAGCGCTTCTTCTGCAATCAATGTCGGCAGAAAAATGTCGGTTGCGTAACAGACGGAACTAAAAGTAAGTTGAATAATCTAGATTCGCTGATATCCAAGCACGTGAAAAAATTATGCGCGTAAATTACGGAAACCTTTTAAAAGCAAAGAGCTTCCTCAAAGCTGTATTCAATTATAAAATGCACAATCCAACATATTCAAAACAAATATAGTAAATGTGTATTTTCTCTTTCATTCTTTCGGTTACTCTCTTTCCTTCCTTAATATTTAATCCAGAGTAAAATGGCTCCACTTGATGAAATATAATTAATATTACGAAATTTCCAGAAATTTTACTCTAAATACAAAACACACGATTTTTTCATCTATTATCGATGTAATCTTGCATTTTGACATAATCCACATAGTTGTAGACTTTTTATAGTCACTCTTTAGACTTTGAATGAATAATCAAATGCTCGTATAGAAAACTGAGTTCATCTTTAAAATTTTAGCCGATTTTCAGCTAGATTTATCGGAACGCCCTTTCAATATTCGTGATGCCTTTTATATCATTCTTTAATTATTTTTTATTTACTTTTAAACATTCACGTCTATTTTTATGTCTATTATGTAACATTATGTTTAATTTAATTACATATATTTCATATCTAATTCATTATTAAATTTATATATATATAGTAACATTAGAAGTCATCTGTAGAAAATGTCACTTGTTGTCAATGATGAAATTTATTTTTATCGAAGAACGTAACAAATATATAATAAATGAAAAATAATTTATAAAATGTGTTAAAAGTAACAAAATGTGCAGTATAATAGTTTATCAGTTTTGGTGGAGGTTGATAATTTACATTTAAATGCAGAAATAGAAAGAAATTTCATTTCAGCAGATTTCATGTATACCAGAGATTTCGAACTTGTGGTACGCGTATCCCTGAGGTACACGAAAGTAATGTTAATAATGGCGAAAAACACAAAAAAAATACGGGATTAAAATGAAAAAAAATGTTATAAAATTTTGTTTCCCCAAGTTCGTGTGAAAGTGATATGTATACGAGTCCGAATTCCTACGGGGAGACAGTGAAAGTAAAGCACCAAATACACGGTGTTAAAGCAATAAAATATTAAATACTTATCACGAATACAGGGCTTGTGTAAATAAGTCACTGGTCTTGTGTGCATATTAATAACAAATATTGCCGTTAACTTGACGCAGTTCCAGACATGAGATTTAAATCTGGAATCATTTGAACCTAACTCATGAAAGAAGTTCGAGGATTATGTAGAAATTATCTTCCACTTGAATAATTGATTATCGCAATAAGTAATCGTTATCTTCTATCATAAGTTAACGCGAACTTATCTCAACGCTGTTTACATTTGTTAAGACGTGGAACTGCTACTAATATAAAAAATGGATTAAAATGTAAAATCAAAAATAGATGCTGCAAATGTTTTTAATTTATTAATTCGAGTCGTTTGACTCTTAAGCTATCGTAAAATTACTACCGTTTCATGACTTCCGATATAATTTCGAGATTTAACATGTATTTCTCT